CATAAAATAAATGGCAACCCTAATTACCCGCAATCTCTACTTGAACCGAATACTGTACAACAGGCTTAGTGAATATTATATTTTTTTTTTTTTTTTTTTGTTTTGTAAATAGAGTTTTTAAACCTATCCGAAAGCATTTCTGGTGAAAATACATATAAATTATTATCTATATTGTTCGAAAGATCATTTTTCAAAAGGTCAACAATAAAGCACCTTGACATTCAGATAGCAAATACAAAAATAAAACAAGTGGCAACACTATTCAAAATTAACTCAAATGCTTCAAAATACAATTAGTTTCATTACAATATTTACTAATTTTTTATATTTTTTCTAATTGCTCACGTCATCTATGTGAAATATTCGCAAATAAATGGCAACCCTATTAAATAAAATTGATAAATTTCATTATCTCATATCAATAACGCTTTTATGATTTCCCAAAATTTTTTAATAGTAGTTAGTTTAGTTTTCCTAAATATCGCGACAAAACGGCAGTACATGGCAATATTTTTAAAACATAGTTTCTTATGCAAACCATTCAAATTATGCGTGGTATTGGCAAACTTTTCTCCAAATTCATTTGTATACTTTCATTTCTAACTTTATGCATTTCATGCAATACTTCTAAATAACTTTTATGGGCTATTATATTAGCATATGTACTATGCATAAGCAGATTATTTATTTTAGATTGATGGCAACCGCATATAATCAAAATTTTAAAATAAATGAAACCAAAATTTCTTCAGTTTGTGGTTCTTATTGCTTTTATGATTATAATTGTATTAATATTTTAGAGTATGTTTCTCAATAGGGGGCAACTTCGCTCCAAAAATATATTTATATGATATATACAATTACTTTTACATTTTGCACAATTCTCTAAATAACTTTTAGGGGATATTATATTGGTTTAAAAACATAAATAACCAATTTTAACCAGTATTAAGGCCGGATGGCAACCCGAGAAAAATTGTATTAAAAAAAGTTAAGTCAAAAAATACTTATTATAGCTTAATATAACTTAAGTAATAAAAACTAGCGTATATTTTTCAGTTTTTTTCAATAGGTGGCAACTTGAAAAAAAAATTTAACAATAGTTTTTTTATATTTTTAAATTTTTTATTTTTTTTATATTTTTAAATTTTTTTTTTTCAATTACTTTCACATTTTGCACAATTCTTCTAAATTTCATTTAGGTAATATTATATTGAATTAGATACCTAAGCAACCACTTTTAACGGGTAAAAGGTCCACAATACAGCCCTAAAATAAAATAAAAATTTCTTATTGCTGCTTAATTATAGTTTAAATAACAAAAAGTATTTTTTATGTTTTTTTGTCAATAGGTGGCATACTTTTTATTTACTACCGAAACTACTATATTGCTGAAATTGGTAGATTTGCTCACATCTTACCATAATGTATACATACATAAACATATGTATAGAAGTTTGTAGATATGTATATGAAGGTCGCCTACAGTCACTTTTGCCCAGCGATTGGTATAAATTTCAAGGCCTTCTCAGCACCAATCATCACGATTGTACCTCTACAAAATTTATTGTCGAAAAACTATATTTATTTGCATATGCAAAAACAGCCCAGCATAAATAACGGTCACATGCAGCATTACACCCACATATGTACATTTTTTCTGCTCATATGCACATACATGTCTGACGCACTCAACCGGAAGAAAGGACAATCATGGCATGCGACAGTCCAAAAAAATATCGCCTGCTGTAAAAGAATATCACCTAAGTGCTTAGTATCAGGCGGCAAACGCTGGCCAGTGGGGCACAAATAAAAGATGAAGCTGCTATAAAAACTATTACCAATTTGCATATATGCAGCTATGCTTGCGTGTGTTTGTGAGTGTGCGTGCGTAATAAAAAAATGTGAAAATAACTCAAATTGTGGGCGTTGCTGACCTTGTAAGCTGCGCTTATATGTTTGTATGTATAGACGTAGCTGATAGGTGGGTTCGTGTTGGCGGAAACTTTATTTTCATAGCATACTGTTGGGCGTTTCACAGGCACATGCGTTTTAAGGGCACAAATGCGTCCCCTTTCACCAAAATCAACAATCTACATATGAAATATGTGTAGGGGACTACATACATACATACATATACATAATAAATTTAYATAAGTTTGTTCGTATATATGTACATATGCATATATGTATATTAAAAATTTCATATTTTGGGGTGCTGTGTGACACTATCAGCTCACCTTGAGCAGCGTAAATGAAAAATAATAGTTTCAAATTTAAATACAGTTATGTACGACATAGTTGTTTTTTTTTTTATTTAAAGAAAGTTTCTCATATTCAACCAACTCCTTCAGCAAAGCACATGCTTCAAGAATATCAAAATAATTATGTATTGTAATTATAATTTGTACCTTTCAAAATTCATTAGTTATCCGTATGAATGGATCCGAAAAATGTGGATCTATAAATTTAAAAAATGTGTACATAAATCAAGCAGCCTAAAAGTATGCAATAAAAATTCCAAATATGTTTTCTTACAAATTTTACCAAATATTTGTATTCTCTTGCTCTCGTGCAACAACATTTCCCTTTTTATGCATATCTCGTAAAGGAAAATTAAAGCCTTAAAGTATGCAACATCTATTTCAATTTTTTTTGGAAATTTTCAGCAAGCGCTGACTGGTTTGCTTCGCCTCCTAATGTCACAACAAAAACGAAAATGTATTTATACAGTTATTTCGTGAGAATTATTTCTAGTTGAACTTCTTGTAACTTTTTATTTATTTTTTTATATAAATTTTATTCATCTTGGAATTTTAAAATCCAATCAGCCCTAAACTATGCAAAAAAAATATTTATTTATTTCTATAAATTTCACTTTTTCTTCTTCAACTTTTATATCGTTTTATGTCAGCATATTTTTTTTCGAATTTTAAAAATTACTTATCTATTTCACATATAAAGCTCGCTCGGGCGTTAAGCATAAAACCCAAGAGGTGATATATTTATATAAAATTAAACATTGCGATGCTTTAGGCCTGTCGTATAGCTTGAGCTTTGTTTGGCTCGTTTTAAATTCTGTACTTTGTTCTTCCCGAAATAATTTTAAAATTGAAAGTGGCAAAGCCCATTTCTAAATCATCCAAACGTACTAACAATTTCGGTTTAAAAAAAGGAAATCCTTTAAGCTTTCCCTCAAAATCGCAGCTGCTTTGAAAATCCTCTTTATTTCAAACTACAATTGGACAGCTAGTCGTCAAGCAAAATTCGCACCGACCTTCAATAACTCAACTAATTTCTCAACTCTAATTTTTCTGTCTCATAAATCTTGCAAAAAGGAAAAGAAATGACAAACTCATTAAATATTTTAATTACATCAGCACCTGATGGTGACCTCCAAGCAATGACATTGAAACAGATTTTGTCCGTGACCAAATGCCACAACAGACGCACGCACACACCGGCGCTTTAGCTCAGCTCGAGCGTAAATGTTTTATTAGCGCCACCAAATTGTCAATTTAAAAATTTAGCGCGGAGTGGCAGCGAGTGTGGGCGTTACCGTGATTGGTGTGCTCTGCTTTAAATAAATAAATAAAGTTATGGATTTGAATTTTTGTAAAGAAATACAAAATGCATTCTGGATGGATCTGGTAGACTCCTATTTTGTTAGGTATTTTTACTAACTTTTTCTATAAGGGATACTCGAAACGAAGTTAGTTATAGGAAATCATTCTGATATACTGCTAGTTCCTTTTTTTGTATTTGTGATAAGATATGTTCTAGATGTTTTCCGATGTATAAAGGAACTAACAAACCTAAAGCGGCCTACAACCATCCCTAAATCACACATAAAAAACATACTCTCTTGAGTAAATTCAGCTTTTGTTGCATATTAATTAAAACCACCGAAAATGGTGAAGCCGTCAGCGCTACCTCCTGCAGCCATTTATAAACGCGACGTTTTCTTTATTCATCCCCACCGTCTCTCCGCATTGTGCGTCTCAAACGACTTTTCAAATTAATTTACGCGTCCACTAAATAATAAATCACGCACCTGAGCTTTCGAAGTATAATATAATATTTATTAGCTAGACATTAATGAGTGTACAAAAGCAGTAACAAAGGCAGTTATGTTACTTGAAGCATGTTATATAAGTTGCTTATATTACAATAAAACATTTATAACTAATTATGTTATTGTTGTTCTATATCATTGCAGGCGAACGACTCATTCAGTATGCTAGTGAGAATCTAGTCACTGAAGTGCTTATACACCCTCAGTACAATACACTCATACAATGTATGCGTAATCTACTGAGCAGTTTTACACGACATCGTCACATTATACACGCTGGCTACACGTTCTCCGGCAATGGTTCCTGGATCTTACAGGTGAGTGGGCATTTCCAAAGAATTTATATGGACAACTGGAATACAAGTTTAGAAGGAAGGCTCACAATATGAAATACTGCTAGTCTCGAAAATAACATATACAGATATACATAATTTAATAAGGCTTTGGACACCCATAATTAACAAAAAAAAAGAGTATAAAGAAAGTAACTATAACCCAATATTATATATTAGGGAACAAGTTGTGGGTTAAAAACCCCAAAGCAAGGATCTATTCACGTAATATTCGATACCACCAAAACCTTATTGGGTTTAGAATTTAAAACAAAACCCAAAAAACTATATGTTACTCAACAATCGAGTGTTAGGTTAGGCTAAGTTATGTTAGATGGCTGATTGAAGATCGAAATATGAGTCCTCCCAGAAGCCATAAAAAAGAGGAACTCCTATTCGAACTTATAAATTACCAAATCACTTAGTACCCAAAATAAATTTGTACTCCCGCATGTGCTAACAAGTGCTTAAGTCTTGATCTCCCAAACGCAAGACAGTCAAGAAGGAAATGTTGAATTGTTTCCAAATCATCTTTTCTTCCATACTGGGTGCGCAACTATCTAGTAATAGAATACAAGAGGATACGCGAGCACCTAGAGTGCCTTTTCATGCTAGCTCATGCAAGCTATGCAATTTCCTGTGATTCCGCTGTGGCCGTGCCTCTATTGCAGTCTTATTACAAAGACACTAGATGGTATTGACATGATGTTTAGGCACTCCTCGTCCAAACCCTGAAGGCACTGTAAATGCGTCAAGGCTAGTATCGCCTCTCTGCCAACTGAGTAAATGGTCACTTCGCTGAAAGAGGCTACACTTCGGAGCAGCAGATCTACTGCTACTTTAATGACTACAATCTCGGCTGGAAGACACTGCAATAGTCAGGAAGTCTAAAGCTGCAGTTGGTAGAGAACTCCTGATAGGAAACCTCTTCACTTACCTTCCCAATATTTTAACCATCCGGAAAGAAGCTCATTTCCATTCTCCTCCAAGCGTTTATCCCCACCCAAAACTCCCTTATCGATATAAGCAGAGAAGGAGCTGCCAGAGTTCTGTTTGATTTTACTTAAACGGATATCGAACTGACCAAGAGATCGCAACTCACCAGCCTATTCCAAATTTGTTTTAAAAATATTTTCTACCACAAGGTCTTTGAAAGATGCTCACAAAACCCAAAAGCTATAAGACAACCTGTTTCCCAACAATCCAGTGTACTTAAACGAAGTTCAGAACGGACCAAGGGATCTCAACTATCTCAAATATCCAGACCTGAGCTATCGCAGGTCTGTATTTCTATTATAATCTCCAAAGATTCAAAATTGCCCACCAAATTCAATACTGAGTGCCGCACTCTAAAATTGTTTTCAAAATTAGATATTCAAACCAAGGCTCAGAAGCTCTAATCTTAGCTTGCATCGAATCGTATATCGTTGACCAATATGGCAAGTATACTATACCAAATTTCCAAATCCAAGTAAAATTTTTCCTGAGTCATACAAATTATTCGTACCACCCCGCTGAGCTGAGAATATATATCAACCCATTCCAACCGAACTTTTAGTGATGGCCGTCATCTTATATACCGTCCTATCTTTAGTTAGACCATTTTCCATTATACATATGCATCTATTCAATTATTTCCCTATAGGATGGAACCTTCTCCGTCTCCGACTTCTCGGAGGCGTTTCAGGAACACGATGTACAGCGTGTCATACGTGCCTACGCCGACACGATTACAATGAATATACATTGTGCCGATGCCGGCCACTGGCACAGCTTGCCACACAAAAGTTTTGCACGCCTCTGCAAAATACGCATCAATCCCGTTGATGTATTGGACACCAGCAGTGAGGGCATCAATGCCTTTATTGGTAAGACAAATTTAAATTATACCACAGTTCATAAGCTTTAATCTATTTTCAATCCGCACAGACTATCTAGCACCACTGCTCGTGCCCACATCACTGCGGGAATTGCTTGAGACCTCGGATGTTGTGGGTAATATACGCTTTACGCATCCAACACTATATGTCTTCCCCGGTGGACAGGGAGATGCTGCACTCTTCGGCATCAATGGTTTTAATATGTTGGGTAAGTAAACCGTCGATTTGACAATATCTCTCATAAATTACATAAATAACTTCTCCTCGCAGTTGATGGTGGCTTTAATCGCAAAGCTTGCTTCTGGGACTTCGTACGACACCTAGACCGCTTGGATGCCGTCCTCATGACACGCCTTAACAATAGCAACATACAAGGTATCAGTTCGGTAGTATCTCGCAAGCGTGATGCCCATGTTTATCCACAAATTGGACACTTCTTTGGTAATGTGCCCGATCGTAAAGGTGGTCTGCCCAGTCCCGATGGCGACAAAGACCGCGATCCATTGCTGGTTGATCTCTTCGAACATGGCCACAATTTGGTAAGCGATCTTAAGTCGCTGGACTTGAAACCACAAAACTGTTATCGCAACCAAGAGCCAATAAATCTGTATCACAAAGTTGGACATGGCACACTGGATATGTATGTGATTAGTCCTGCGCGTGACTCGAAAGAAGTAAAAGAATTCTTATCGAAGTGGCACTCCGGCGATCAGCGTCTTTTTGCCGCACGTGATACACGCGAATTCAATTTCCCACTACAAAACTTGGTTTCGATCTGCGCGCTGCTGGTGTGGCAACCAGCCAATCCAGATGATACTATCACCCGTATACTCTTCCCCGGTAGCACACCTGATTTTAAGATACAAGAAGGCTTGGAAAAACTCAAGCATCTAGAGTTCATGAAGCACTCAACCTGCACTGCCAAATCAATTGCACCAGCTATACAAACTGTGGTAACTACACGAAAAACATTCAAGTCCGCCATCGGTGCGCCTATTGAGCCACTGAGCGTAACAGCTAAACCTAAATTCGCACCAGTTGCTGCCGCGGCTGTTGCTATACAGCAAGACAACAAAACTAAAGAGGCCGCAGCTGCCGCCGCCGCTACACAAGTCATCGAAGAGACTAAAGTAGAGAAAGTAGAGGCTGAAAAAATTGTGTTACCAAAGAAAGAAGACTCGGTGGACACTGATGAACCTGCTGCTGAAACTGGCGATGAGGCTGTGCCTGAACCAGAACCAGCTATTGAGGTAGAGAGCAAGGAGGAAGACAAACCCGATGGTGAAACAGCAGATGAGGACAATAAAGAAAAAGAGGCCGAAACTGAGAAGAAGGTTGAGGTAGTAATTGTTAAGCCACAGCCACAAGCTGCACCACAAAAGGAAGAAACGCCTACACCAGAGGTAATTAAACCAAGCAGGGTTGCCAAAGGAAAGGGGGATAAACCACGTGCCGAAGTCAAGCCTGTAGTGCGTTCACGCATTGACACCAAACCACCCAAATCAATGGAGCGCAAGGGTATAAGGAAGGACTTGACTGCTGAGAAGAAGGCCTCACCCACTGCTACGCCACGCAAAGAGCCTGCAGCACCAAAACCGGGCGCAGCACGGGATGTAAAACCTCGCATTATTACACGTGCCACCAAATCCAGCCCCAGCAGTACGCCAGCCAAGAGCGCAAAAGACGCTAACAATCGCAAGGTGCTCGAATCGAAGCAGCAAGCGACACGACAAGTTACCAGCACTTCCACTACTACGACCACACGTCGTGAAATGACGCGTACCACTGCAGCGGAACGCAAGGAAACACGCACACAACAACAGCAAGCTCAACAACGTAAACCAATTTCACGGCGTCCACGTGGCGCTTCGCCAACAAAACGGGCACCCGGCAGTCCAGTCAAGTCGGCTAAGCCTAAAGCGGATTTGAAGAAATCACGTCTAGATAAAGGTGGCACCACAGATTCCAGTCTGGTGTCAACGCCATCGGCAGATGAGGCAGTTGCTGCGAAAAAACTACAAGATCTGACCGCGTCGCAAGAGTTGGATGCTGAGAAGCAACGTGAACTCGACGATCTCAAAGAAGAACAAGAAGTTGTACGTGAAATAGAAGCAGTCTTTAGTCGTGATGAAATGAAACGACAAAAGCAATTGGCTGCTGAAATGCGTGAAATGTCTAAACAGGATAGCACTACTGAGGCCGAAGAAGAGGAAGAGTATTTGATAATCGAAAAGGAAGAGCTCGATCAATATACCGAGGATTCAATTGTGGAGCAGGAAAGCAGCATGACGAAAGAAGAAGAAATTCAAAAACATCAACGTGATTCACAAGAGTCCGAGAAGAAACGAAAAAAGAGCGCAGAAGAGGAAATCGAAGCCGCTATTGCCAAAGCAGAAGCCGAAGAACGCAAGGCACGACTCGAGGACGAAGCTGCTGATGAAGCACCTGAAGCGATAGAAGCTGCAGTAGAGGCTGGCGAGGAACAAGTTGAAGAACCTGCACATAAAATAACTACTCCAGAGAAGTCAGAAATTAAAGCCGAGTTGCAAGAAATAATTACCACAGCCAAGGATATAGTCACAACACGCACTGAAGAGCAAATAACCAAAGCCGAAGAAGAACTCTCTTCACCTACGCCTGAGGACAAAATAAGCAGCGCGAAGAAAACTTCCGACACCAAAGATGAGCTTATCGAACAACCTGAAATTATGCCTGCCAATTTACAAGAAAGTCTCCCAGAAGAGAAATTCTCAGCTACAATCGAGTCCGGCGCTACTACAGCGCCAACGCTGCCCGAGGACGAACGCATACCTCTCGACGAAATCAAGGAAGACTTAATAATCGAAGAGAAATATATTAAAGAAGAAACCAAAGAAACTGACCAGGCGGCTGGATATGAAGTAGCAGACGTTAAACCAACTGAACCTGCTGTAACGGCAGCCGGCATTGTCATTGAGAAGATAGCCGAGCCCGTAATTGTCGGCTTAGCTACCGCAGAACGTGTACTGCCAATGAAGATGACTTTTCAGGCACAACAAAATCTACTGCGCGATGTTGTTAAAACTCCAGATGAAGTAGCAGATTTGCCTGTACATGAAGAAGCCGACTTGGGTGTCTATGAAAAGGATACACAAGAAAGCGGTAAAGTCATTTCGCATAAAGAAGAAATTACAAAGGAGGAAAAGGAAACTGAAGAAAAAGATATTTACGAAGGTAAAGAAATTGAAGTTGCAGAGGAAATAGGGACAATAGATAAGGTAGATGATGAGAAGGTGAAAGTGGAGATTGCAGAAAAACCATTGCAAGCAACCGAGGAAAGCGCTGTGTCTCCAACTGAAAAGAAACCGCTCTCACCTATAGAAAAACCAATTTATTCTCTCGAAAAGGAAACAACTCCCATCAAGAAAGCCGCTTCCCCTGATGAGAAACCAGGTTCTCCTTTGGATAAACTGCCATCTCCTACCGAAAAAGAAGAAATACCAGCCGAAAAAGTATCCTCTCCCACTGAGAAGCCAGAGTCCCCTGTCAAGCAGCAACCTTCACCTGCTGAAAGGCAAATATCTCCCGCTGAAAAAGAAACGACACCAGTAAAGGAAGAAGAGACGTCATCCGAAAAGCTTACTACTCCATCCGAGAAACCTGTTTCTCCAACAGAAGAAGAGACTCCGAAAGATAACAAACAAGCTTCCGCTAAAACGGATATTTTGACTAAGGAGACCCCGGCAGTTAAGGAAGTTATTTCACCTGCAGAAATATCCGTTTCTCCAACTGAAAAAGACACTCAACAATTAGATAAAACGACATCATCCGCTGAGAAGCCTACATCACCTGTTGAGAAGAAAGTGCTTAAATCAGAAGATATTATAACTGAGACGACACCATCACCAACCGAAAAATCCGTCTCTCCAACTGAAAAGAAAACTACCGAAGTAGAGAAAGAGCCATCACCTCTTGCAGCTTCTCCAACTGAAAAGGAGGCTCCAAAAGTTGGGAAAGTACCTTCCTCCATTGAGAAGCCTCCTGTTGAGGAAGAAATAGTAAAAGCAGACGATATTGCAACCGAAAAAGCTGCTTCTGAAACGGAAAAAGAATATTCTCCAACAGAAAAGGAGCCTGAGAAAGTAACTTCACCAGCAGAAAAAGACGTTTCTGCAGCTGAAAAGGAGACTTTGCATGTAGATACTGTAACTTCACCTCTTGCAAGTTCTCCAACCGAAAAAGAGGCTCCACTGGTTTCGAAATTACCGTCTCCTGCTGAGACGCCTGCATCTCCTGTTGAGAAAGAAGCCTTGAAACCAGAGGATATTTCAACTGAAAAGAAATTGTCACCAGCAGAAAAATTGGAAAAAGAAATTATTAAAACTGAGCACATTTTAAGGGAGAAAGATGCTTCAATAGTAGAAAAATCCATCTCTCCAATCGAAAAAGAAGCTATAGAAGTAGACAAAGCTCCTTCTACAGCTGATCAACCTACTCTAAAGGAAGTGCTACCTGCCTCAGGGATTCACAAAGAAGCTGAAAAGGTTTCAAGGGCTGAGGATAAACCAACTTCTCTAGTAAAAACAGAAGAAGCTGCAACTGATAAGATGATCGAGAAACCAAAATCACCTATAGAGTTAGAAGTACAAAAGAAAGATATTTTAGCCGCTGATGCAGAAAAACCAGTAACTTCATTAGAGCAAGAACTAGCAGAATCTCATAAAGCGAGCTTACCTTTAGGTATATCCGCTGAGGAACCAACTTCTGATAAAAAAGGCACGCCTCCTAAAGATAAATTATCATCACCTGTTGACAAAGCACCTACCGAAGAGTCAAAGAAGTCTACAAGCACCCCTGAAGAAAAGGATGGTAGTGAAATTACATCAGAGGACGAGCTTCCTGCGCTAGTACTTGCAGATATTGATACATCTAAGCCAAAAGATAAAGACGACACAGTTTCAGTAGGAAGTCCAGCAACTATCGAAGAAGCTATCGAGGTTGAAATGCTGAAGTCTTTACAGGCCAGTAGAAAAACTTCTCAGGAAATAAAAGATACTGATTTGAAGGTGGAATCTCGTAAAACATCGGTAGTGTTAGATGAAAAAGAAGAAGAAAAGGAAGAAAAAGTCGAACTTTCTTCAAAAGAAAAATCTCCTGTCGAAAGTATCAAAGATGAGAAATCAGCACTCGTCTCCAAAGAAGCATCACTGCCAGGGTCAACTGTCGAAAGTATTAAAGATGAAAAGTCCCCCTCTGCATCCAAAGAAATCTCTCGACCAGCTTCTGCTGCAGAAAGTATTCATAGTGATGCTGAAAAATTCGAAACAGAAACTGTTTCTTCTCCGGTTGATATGGCACCAAGAAAAATTGATACTACTGATCTTACTTTAATGTTGGACGTTTCAAAAGGAGATACCAAACTGCCAACATCATCAAGTCCTGTCGATGTGGCGGAAGGCGAGTTCTCGGAAGTTAAAGACACATTTGTAAAAACTCAAATAGCATCTGCTGAGAGCACTGCTGTTAGTGGTACGGAGACCGTTTCCAGCCCTATAGATGAAGCAAAAGATCTAATTACAGAAGCTGATATTACTGCTCGTCCGGAAAGTCCAGAAGCAGAAAAATCACCTGTTATATCAAAAGAAACATCCCGCAAGCCATCACAAAGTGAGTCTGCAGCCGGTAGTACTAAAGACAAAACATCTCCCGTCGCTTCTAAGGATACATCTCGACGAGAGTCTGTCGCAGAAAGCATAAAGGTTGACAAATCTTCAATCACTTTCAAAGCAGATACCGATACGGAAGACCTCAAAGACCAAAAGTCACCTGGAATACCAACAAAACCTGCCCAAACCCCTTCCACAGCCACAAAAAAAGAAGACAAGTCGTTTCTTGATCCAAAAGAAGCGTTAGAGCCAGAAACAACTAAAGAAAGTCTTAAAGAAGAAAAATCACCAATCATATCTGAAGAAGTATCTCGTACTGAGTCTGTTGCAGAGATCACCCAAGAAGAAAACGATCAATTTATTGAAACAAAAACTGCGCCATCAGCAGTGGATAAGGCTTCCACTAAGTTAGATCAAACAGAACTGGCACTTGATTTAGATAAAATAAAAGCCGACACTAAACTTCCAACATCTTCAAGTCCTGTAGATGTTGCTCATGGTGACTTCCCTGAAGTAAAAGAAACATCTGTTGCATATAAAACAACTCCAGCAGAAGAAACCACTGTAGCAGGCGCGGAAACAGTATCCACTCCAGTTGATGAAGCAAAAGAGTTAACTGGTATCAATGCAGAGGAGATAACACGCCCCGAAAGTCCTGAAGGTGCTTCTCCTAAAATCTCTAAAGAAAGCTCTCGACGACCATCTGTGGGAGACAATGACGATAAGTCACTACTCATATCAAAGCCAGGGTCGACAGAAGAAAGTTTGAAAGATGAAAAATCCGCTGTTCCTTCTGCGGAGCCCTCACGACGAGAGTCCGTGGCAGAAAGTGTCAAAGACGAAACGCCGGTAGTTACATCAAAGCCCGTTTCGGTAGAGGAGAGCATCAAAGATGAAAAGTCCGCTGCTCTTTCTGTAGAGCCCTCACGTCGAGAGTCCAAGGCAGAAAGTATTAAAGATGAAAAGTCAGCAGTCGAGTCCAAACCCGTATCGGTAGCAGAGAGTTTCAAAGATGAAAAATCTGCAACTCCTTCTGTAGAGCATTTATGTCCTGAACCTGTGGCTGAGAGTATAAAAGATGAAAAGACACCAGCCGCATCGAAACCCGCTTCGGTAGTAGAGAGCGTAAAAGATGAAAAATCTGCTGCTCCTTCTGCAGAGCCTTCAGTACCTGAATCCGCCGCTGACAGTATTAAAGATGAAAAGTCACCAGTCGCATCGAAACCCGTTTCGGTAGCAGGCAGCGCCAAAGATGAAAAATCTGCTGCTCCTTCCGCAGAACCTTCACGTCCAGAGTCTGCGGC